CAGTGGTGATAGTATGTACATAGCTCACCACATGTAGTTAAGGTGCAGTTCCTCATGATTTTAGCGCTCATTCTACAGATATGAGTTGCAAGCTACTGTTCTTAAAAAAAAAAGTTGCTATTTGCATTCAAATTAGGTTACTTCCTTTCCTATATTGTCCTGAGCTGCAACAGGGGGAACATGAAAGAATAGGAAAGATTAAAAAAACCACTTATTTGAAATTATTAAATATCATACAGAGAACTGAATGTATTGTAGCTATTAAAATGTAAACTAACAAAAAATATGTAATCACATTGCTTTCTGCCAGAAGTTTTAAGGGAAAGAAAATGTTTCTGAACACATTTTCTCCTACCCACCCCAAATATCTGCAAATATAAGATAACTTGGACCCACAAAATCACAGACTAATTCATGTTGGAAGAGACCTCTCAAGGTCACTTAATCCAGTCTCCTGCTCAGAGCAGCACCAACTTCAAAGTTAGAGCAGGTTGCTCAGAGTTTTAGCCAGTCAAGTTTTAAAAGTCTCCAAGGATGGAAATTTCACAACCTCTCTAGTTCTTAGCCATTCTCATTGTGAAAAGTTTTCTCCTGATATGCAGTTGAAATTTCCATTGCTGAAATTTGTGACATAGCCTCTTGTCCTTTCACTGTGTACCTCTGAGAAGAGTCATGCTTCATCTTTTCTAACACCCCCTTTAGGCTTTTAACTGAAGTTGAGTACTTCAGCTTTTGTTTTGTCCTTTCTGTAGTCAAATTCCTATTTCCAACCACACAGCTTGTTGCACCTCACAAGAAAAATAGCTAATTATCATGTAATAAATAATCAGTTCACTTTTCACAATTTTACATGCTTTACTATGGAAGAATAATGAAGGGTCTTCACATATATGTAAAACTATATAGTATCTTAAGTAAAGTGTGGCAAGATGAAGGTTATCCTTGTTATCTGGAAGAAGTACTAATACATTAAAAATTTAGTTCAAAGACAATTCAATTTATATCAATTTATATTTAAGTTGCCTGATATTGTATTTGGGGAAATACTAAAAACATGACACATAAACCTTGCAGTCAAATAGAATGCTGAAAATGTGTAACTCTTCCCCTTTCCTGCTAGGTAAGTATGAATCAGGAAGATTAACCAAAACTTGGTGAAGGCTCCCCCGTAACTGATAGAGAGCAGGAGGAAGGCAATATAAGGGCATTGCTGGGGAATACCCCTGGGGAGAGAGACGGCTCTGGGACTGCAGAAGAACTACTAGAGAAATGAAAGTTTAGGAAGAGTTTGCTGCTGTTTTATTATCTGCAAGTATTACCCACTCTGTAGCTGAACTGCAAGTTTGACTGTTTTGCACATTGTGAAAGCAGAGTAATAAAGACAAATGTAAGAAATCATG